AGCTGGGGATTCGAACCCGCCACCTTAGGTGTACGTGGCTGGTGCCTTAGCCAGTTGAGCTATAGGCGCCGAGCCAGCAAAATACATTTAAGATTAATCCATGTTGTTACATGAATCAACAAGCAGATTTTAAGATGACTGCTTTAATAATAATAGTATAGATGATTCATATTTGAATGACAACAATTATATCTTTAGATTTAGTTAAAGTAAATTAGAGGTTTTAAATTGCGCAAATGTACATAGTTATATACTGTAAATAATTAAATAGTGCATAATACATTGGTAAAGATGAAATAAAACTATCAGTAGTTTACAATTAAAGCAAAAACAGCTTTACAATTAAAGCAAAAACAGCATGGTTGAAAACCATGATCAACACAAGATATAATGATAGAGTAATTAACCTTCTTAAAAACTATAGGCATTATCAATAACTGGTTGAGGCCATATGCAGTTGGTGTTCTGCAGTGATGCCATGCATTGAGTATGTATGGGCCACCATCCTACAACATGGAATTAAGGATCCTTAGAAAACTCAAATAATCTTCACGAATACCTATTTCTATTAATACTTACTAACTTACTAGTAATTCTAGTAAGTTGCTCTAAGTCCTAGCCACAAATACTCTATTGCTTATTATTTGTTCATCGGAACTAAAGAAAGTATTACACTTAAAGTTTTAGACCAGTTTTTGGCCCATCAGAGGACCTTCTGGTTTCATTGATGAACCTTAGACATACTTTTTTTTTTGCTTGTTTTTGAGACAAGAGTCTCACTCTGTGTCCTGGGTAGAGTGCCATGGCATCCTAGCTTACAGCAACTTCAAACTCTTAGGCTCAGAGGCTCCCCTTTCAAGTAGCTGGGACTACAGGTGCCCATCACAACACCCAGCTAGTTTTTCTATTTTTAGTAGAGACTGGGTCTCAATTTTTTTGCTCAGGCTAGTCTCCTGAGTTCAGGCAATCTACCCAACTCGGCCTCCCAGAGTGCTAGCAAGAATTACAGGCATATGACTATATGACTGCCACTTCCTGCGGCACCATCTGCAAACCTCTAGGAATTTGTGAAATATGCTAGTCAGGACATTCTAAAAACTCAGGGTGCTTACTTCAGCAGCACAGTTACTAAAGGAGAATCAGGGTGAGGTGCTTACTAAACACAGTGCTCAATGTAGCAGCATCAACCACAAATGGGAACTCTTAAGAGCCACTTACAGTAATTTGGATCTCAATTCTTAGAAACCACAATTGCCATATACCTCAATTAGAATTCTCACTGGGCTGCTCAAAAGGTTGAGGAAGAGGGATCACTTGAGTCCAGGAATTCAAGGCTATTGTGTGCTCTAATTGTGCCTGTGAATAGCCTGGGCTAAATAAGGAGACACCCCCCCCCCAAAAAAAAAGAAAAAGCAAAAAAGAATTCTCACTGGAAATGCCAAGCAACTATATAGATTTTTTTTTTTTTTTTTTGAGACGGAGCCTTAAGCTATCCCCCTGGGTAGAGTGCCATGGCATCATGCTCACAGCAACCTCCAACTCCTGGGCTCAAGCGAGTCTCCTGCCTCCGCCTCCCAAGTAGCTGGGACTACAGGCACCAGCCACAACGCCTGGCCATTTTTTGGTTGCAGCCATCATTGTTGTTTGGCGGGCCCAGGCTGGGGATTCGAACCCGCCACCTTAGGTGTATGTGGCTGGCGCCTTAGCCGCTTGAGCCACAGGCGCCGAGCCTATATAGATTTTTTTTACCCACAAATGATCTCTAAAGTCTAAAAAAAAGCTAGTTAAAGTAAAATTTGAGAAGGGAAGTTAAAGAGAAAATTTGCTTATCTAAAATGCAATGGTAATGCACAGTTTTACATCAGGTTTACAGTTGTCTGTGGCATGAATTTAAAGTAGTAACTATGACCTGTAGCTTTATATATTATTAAAAACTCCATTCCAAATGGTGTGTTCTAGTAACAATTTCATAGGCTACATTTCCATCCAAATGTAGAATATGAATTCAGATAGCAGTGCTATGATTAAAGTAGAATTTGAAAAGGCAATCACAAATTCATCTAGGTTATGAAGTGGCATGGTGCTCAATGAGTACAAATTTTGTTGTACAGACTGAAAATTATGGCAAAAGATATTTTAAAAGAATGTGTAAGTACTAATAAAGCATCTGGAACTTTAATGTCCACTTTTTAGTGTTTGAGATTGATTTTTTAGTTAAACAAAGTAGGTAACTATTTGAATAATTTTTTTTTCTTAACTACAAATTCACTAAGCCCTTATAGATGAGTTATTACCCTTCCAGGGATAGTCATGGCTCCTAATCTGCTAATTGCTAATCTGAACATATTAACGACTCTTAAAGTTGGTCAAATTGCTTAGCAAAAAAGAAATGAATCTATCCATGGCTGTCTGATACAAAGCCTGGAAACGATCTTTCTTTCTTTTCTTTTTTTCTTCTTTGCTTTCTTGTTTTTCTTTCTCTCTCTCTTTCTTTCTTTTCTTTCTTGTTTTTCTTTTTTTAGAGACAGACAGAGTCTCACTTTGTCACCCTCAGTAGAGTTCCATGGCATCACAGCTCACAGCAACCTCCAGCTCCTGGGCTTAGGCTATTCTCTTGCCTCAGCCTCCCAAGTAGCTGGGACTACAGGTGCCCGCCACAGTGCCCAGCTATCTTTTGTTGCAATTTGGCCGAGTCTGGGCTTGAACCTGTCACCCTCAGTATATGAGGCTGGTGCCCTACTCACTGAGCCACAAGTGCTGCCCCTCTCTCTCTCTCTCTTACTTTCTTTCTCTTTTCTCTCTTTCTTACTTTCTTTCTCTTTTTTCTCTCTCTCTTTCTTTCTTACTTTCTCTCTTCCCTCCCTCCCTCCCTCCCTTCCTTCCTTGCCCTGGGTAGAGTGCCGTGGTCATAGCTCACAACAGCCTCAAACCCTAGGGTTCAAGGGATCCTCCTGCCTCAACCTCTGAATAGCTGGGACTTTAGGCACTCACCACAACACCTGGTTAGTTTTTTCTATTTTTAGTAAAGACTGGGGTCTTACTCTTGTTCAGGCTAGTCTTGGACTCTTGAACTCAAGCAATCCACCTACCTTGGCCCCCCAGAATGCTAGGATTAGAAACATTTTTAAATGGAACTTTAAAAGGGATAATAAATCGTGCTGTTTCTGTTAAGAAGTTGGTTTGGGCTCGGCACCTGTGGCTCAAGTGGCTAAGGCGCCAGCCACATACACCTAAGGTGGTGGGTTCGAATCCAGCCTGGGCCCACCAAACAACAATAATGATGGCTGCAACCAAAAAAAATAGCCAGGCATTGTGGCGGGTGCCTGTGGTCCTAGCAACTTGGGAGGCGAAGGCAGGAGACTCGCTTGAGCCCAGGAGTCGGAGGTTGCTGTGAGCTATGCCATGGCACTCTACCCAGGGGGACAGCTTGAGGCTCTGTTTCAAAAAAAAAAAAAAGAAGTTGGTTTGGAGGCAGCACCTGTGGCTCAGTGGGTAGGACACCAGTCCTGAGGGTGGTGGGTTTGAACCCGACCCTGGTCAAACTGCAACAAAAAAGATAGCCAGGCATTGTGGCAGGCACCGGTAGTCCCAGCTACTTGGGAGGCTAAGGCAAGAAATCATTTTGCCTAAATCCAGGAGATGGAGGTTGCTGTGAGCCATGATGCCACAGGCACTCTACCAAGGGAAACAAACTGAAACTCTGTCTCAATAAAAAGAAGAAGAAGAAGAAGTTGGTGTTAGCCAGACATGTTGTCTCATATCTGTAATTCCAGCACTTTGGAAGGAGGATCACTTGAAGCCAGGAGTTCAAGAGTAGCCTGGGCAATATAGTGAGACCCCCATCTCTACAAAAAAGTCAGATGTGATGACATCTATGTATGGTTTCAGCTACTAGCCAGGAGGATCACCTGAGTCTAGGAGTTGAAAGTCATAATGAACTATGATCATGCCAGTGTATTCTAGCATGGATGACATAGGAAGACACTGTCTCTTAATTTAAAAAAAAGAAAGATAAGAATTTGGTTTGGGTAAGGCCAGGCCATGAATTTTTTTCAGTATTTTACTTTCCCATAGAAATAACTTAAGAGATTAGCATTCAAGAGCCTAGGAAACTAAATAAAACTTATTTGATTTAATTTTTTCAGGTTGGTCCCATTAAAAATTATCCTTGCATTTCAGGTAATTTCTCAGCATACGCGGGAGCTACTAGGAATTGAAGAGCCATTATTCAAACGCAGCATCTGTCTTCCCTATAGGGACAATATTGGCTTATTTTTAGAGCAAAAAGGTCATAGTGGGATAAATTCTGATTCCTTGACCTTACCTGAATTTGTCAAAGCAGCAGGATTAGAGGATTATGCTCCCCAGGCACCTTCCCCTGAAGAGGATGAGGCATTACCTGACAGTGAACAATAAGGGAAAGCCATTTCACTTAGTTTGAATGATCAGACTAAATTCCCTGGGGAAAGAGATGTAGTCTTTTTGGGGTTTTCTTTTTCTCCTTTTCTTTAAGGATTGGCATCAAAACTGCTGGCTTCATTCCTAGTTCTGTCCTGGACTCAGCACCCTTTTGGTTTTTCAAGTTAACTCCTCATTAAAACAAAGGTAGCAATCTTTATCTTTCTGGGTAATTGTAAGAATTTCTGGTAAATTCTAGTAGCATACCTGGTAGCAGTATTATGTTGGGAAAATATAATTAAAAAAAAAATCTCCTGCCAATCCAGATAATCCTCTCCACAAATGCAGGAAAGAAACCATTATGTTATTGAATAAGCATTAAACTGTGATGCATATCACAGGTAAACTGCTAAAAAGATTGCAAAGATGAAGAAATCTCACCCAGACAAATACAGGAAGTCCATGAAGTTCATACACAATTTTAAAAAATTGCCTGTGAAAGAACCAGACAAACGCCATTTTTAGGCAGCTCCCACCATCTTGAGAAATAAGTTTCGGTTTCCCGCCATATGATTCCTACCACCCAATTAGAGCACACCTTGTAATCAGACCACTGAGCCACTAGTGCCCAATCCTGCGCTGCCACATACTCAGATCTTCCCCAAACCCCACCTACGATCCCAACCCCATAATACTCACCCCCTACCCCCCAACCCCCCCCCGACCCTTGCCCCAGAGCTCGTGGCTCTCGGCCAGGATCCATTGCAGCAGACCTCCCAGGAGTCCAAGCTCAAGCTTGCTGCAATAAAGGCCCTTTTGCTTTTGCATCGGACTCGGCTCCTGGTGGTCTTTGGGAACTACGCGATCTGGGCAGAACATTTGGGGGCTCTTCCAGGATTTACCAAGACCCCTAAGGACCCCAAACCAGAGGGCTGAAGAGTGGTGAGTGTTCTGGTACCAGTGGTATGTCAGTGTTTGTGTCTGTATGCGGGCCTGAGATTTTGGTAGTCTGGTTGAGCCAAAAGAAACTCCAGGCAGATGCGTCACAGAAAGGCTATTGGCCGGGGTTCTGGAAGACGCCCCACGACTGCGGAGGACTGGGACGTGGAATCCCCAGATCCTGCTGAAAGGGCTCACATGGAATCGATCCCATTAGTGTTTCTGGATGGACTGGTCAGGTCGCTCCCGCTAGTTGGCATTCAGCCATCATCCCAGTTTCAGTTTTGTTACTGGTCTTATAAAGGGCCAGACGTTGGCTTTTTGTTGTGTTTTGTATGTTTCGTGTGCATTTTGGTGACGGTGGGTGACGTGGGACAGACACAGATGACTCCTTTATCTTTGATTTTAGACCATTTCCAGGACTTTAAAGGCCAAGCTCAGAACCTTGGTCTCAGTGTTATAAAATCTAAACTTAAAATCTTTTGCAGGAACAAATGGCCAACCTTTAATGTCGGGTGGCCCCTGGAAGAAACTTTCCATCTTCCTATTATTTTCCAGGTCAAAGATATAGTGTATCGGCCTTGGTCCAGTCATCCGGATCAGGTCCCGTACATTACAACCTGGCAGGACTTTGTTGAAGATCCACCAGCATAGCTGAAAGCCATTCTGCTGCCTAGGCAGGAAGAGCCTCAGAAGGCGTTAGCTGTTAAAGAAAAACCTAAAGAGTCTCCCTGACCAACTGCCCCCCTCTATCCCGTTCTGCAGGGTGGGAATGACCCAGACTCCTTGTTTCCTCCTCCTTATCCGTCCCCACCACAGGCTCCCTGTGTCCCTCTGCAGGACAACGAAGCAGCAGCAGCAGCTGGTCCCTCGGGACCACTGGGGAGCCCTCCCCACACGCGTCAGTGGGCACAGTGAGAGCGGCTGCGGGTGCCAGCTGCAGATTCCACTGTCTTTCCTTTATGGGCAGTAGGCCCCCCTGATGATAATGGGGAACAACCCCTGCACTATTGGCCATTTGGAAAATGCAGAATCCAAAGTTTTCTGAGAAACCAACTGCTCTAATTGATCTTTTAGATTCCATCCTTCTTACTCATCAGTCCACTTGGGACAATTGCCAGCAGCTTCTACAGGTCCTCTTCACCACTGAGGAACAAGATTGGATCCTGGCAGAGGCCAGGAAAACAGTCCTGGGGGAAGATGGGAACCCTACCACCAACCAAGCTGTTACTGACACTTCTTTCCCCCTCACACACCCTAACTGGGATTTCAACACGGCTGAAAGATTTGCTTGCAGTAGCAGAGAAAGTGTATAACAACAGAGAAACATCCGGGCTCGGGCGAAACAAACTCAAGACCTGGCCAGAATTCTGTTGGCTGCCACGACAGCAGAACCACATGACAAACAGGACCGACTGTGACAGTTGGCGGAGGGAGGTAAGGAGAAGTCCTCCGAGGGGTGCCAATGATTGCAGAGAGATCAGTGTGCCTATTGTAAAGAATTTGGATGCTGGGCTAAAGAGTGTCCTAACTACCTCCCCTGTAAAACTCAGGTTTTAGAACTTGGAGAACTAAGTGATTAGAGGGGTCAGGGTTCAGTGCCCCTCCCTGAACCCAGGGTAACCCTCAAAGTGGAGAGGATACCAATAGACTTTTTGGTGGACATAGGCGCTCAGCATCCAGTCCTGGTATCAGACCAGAGCAAAATGGACACCAAAAAGTCTTGGGTCCAAGGGGCCACTGGAATTAAATACTCATGGACTATCCAAAGAACTGTGGACATGGGTGCAGGCCAGATATCCCACACATTTATGGTCATTCCAGACTGTCCATACCCATTTCTTGGGCGAGACCTTTTAAACAAAATAGGAGCCCAGATCACTTTCAAAAGAGAAGGGCCCCAATTCACAGATGGGCAGGGGTGCCCTATCCAGGTGTTGACTCTGAGGCTTGAAGACGAGTATCGGCTCCATCAGCCCCCAGTGCTTACACTGGTGGTCGAGATGTCTGAATGGATGAGTTCCTTTCCGTCAGCCTGGGCAGAAACTGAAGGCATAGGATATGCTGCCCACAGACCACCGGTAATAGTAGAACTTAAGCCAGACGCTGAACCGGTTTGGGTACGTCAGTACCTGATGCCCCAAGAAGCACAGATAGGAATCCTACCCCATATCCGGAGGCACTTGAAAGTAGGAATTTTGACACCATGTCAGTCCCCTTGGAACACCCCTTTACTCCCTGTCAAAAAGCTTCTGACAAGTGACTATCGCCCAGTGCAGGACTTGAGAGAAGTTAACAAACGGGTTATGGATATACATCCAACCGTGCCCAACCCATACACACTCCTAAGTGCACTAGCCCCAACACAAATGTGGTACACAGTCCTAGATTTAAAAGATGCCTTTTTTAGCTTGCCTCTAGCTCCACAAAGCCAGGCTATGTTTGCCTTTGAGTGGAATGATCCCAAAGAAGACATCAATGGACAGCTGACCTGGACTCGACTACTACAGGGCTTCAAGAACTCTCCAACCATCTTCGATGAGGCCTTGCATGAAGGGAGACTTGGGTGAGTTCTGTAAAGCACACCCCGGACTGACTCTCCTTCAGTATGTAGATGACATACTATTAGCAGCTGCCGATGAACAAGGCTGCCTGCAAGGGACCTGGGACCTGCTAGCCACCCTAGGAGACCTAGGCTACCGTGCTTCAGCCAAGAAAGCCCAAATCTGCCAACAAACTGTAAGTTACTTGGGGTATGTGCTAAAAGAAGGACAGAGGTGGCTTTCACAGGCCAGGAAAGATACCGTGCTAAAAATCCCGACCCTCACCTCACCCCGGGGCGTTCGGGAATTCCTAGGGGCCACTGGCTTCTGCAGGCTTTGGATTTTAGAGTTTGCAGAGATTGTTAAACTATTATATGAAGCCACAAAAAAAGGGCAGCCTTTCTACTGGACAGAAGAAAGAGAAAATGCTTTTAAGGCACTCAAGGTGGCGCTGTTATCCACCCCCGCATTAAGACTCCTGGATATCACAAAACTCTTCCAGCTATATATAGATGAACATAAAGGAATAGCTAAAGAAGTATTGACTCAAGCAATAGGCCCCTGGAACAGACTGGTGACTTACTTATCCAAGAAGTTAGACCCGGTAGGGGCGGGATGGCCCCCATGTCTGCGTATAATTGCAGCCACTGCTTAGCTTGTCAAAGATGCAGATAAACTTACAATGGGGCAGGAATTGCTGGTCACAACCCCCCACGCCATAGAAGGGGTGTTGAAGCAACCGCCTGATCAGTGGATAAGTAATGCTTGCCTCATCCATTATCAGAGCCTGTTGCTAAATCCTCCCAGAATCCAGTTCCTGCCCAAAGCGACCCTTAACCCTGCCACCCTCCTGCCAGACCTAGAGCTGGAAGCTCCCCTCCATGAATGTACGAGATCCTGGCTCAAATCCACTGCATTCGCCGGGACTTAACTGCCCAGCCTCTGTTAAATGCAGACACTGTCTGCTACACAGATGGCAGCAGCTTCATCAAGGATAGGTGCAGGTACACGGGGGCCGCAGTTGTGACTGAGACTGAGACTGTTTGGGCAGAACCTCTTCCAGCAGGCACTTCTGCACAAAAAGCTGAATTGATACCCCTCACAAAGGCTTTGATGCTGGGGAAAGGACTGAGACTAAATGTCTATACTGATAGCCGGTATGCCTTTGCCACGGTGCATGTCCATGGGGCAATCTACCAAGAGCAGGGACTGCTCATGGCAGAAGGTAAGACGGTCAAGAACAAAGATGAGATATTAACTCTGTTAGCAGCTCTCTAGCTCCCACAGGAAGTGGCAGTAATGCACTGCCCAGGACACCAGCGACAAGACACCCCAGTGGCCAGAGGAAACAGACGGGCTGACCAAGTGGCCAAAGAAGTAGCCCAGGTAGCAGAAGCTACACTACCCATCCAATGCCCAGATCCAGGCCCTCTTTGCCTGCCTGACAAACCACTCTACACACCAGAAGATCTCAAATGGATAGAGCAGATCCCGATGGCTCATACTCCGGAGAAGTATAACAGATGGTGGCACATTTGTGATGGGAAAACCATCCTCCCCGCTAAGCTAGGTCTAAGGGTCTTAA